AAACAGTAAAAATCATAATCTCCACTTTTGTTGAAATATCAGCGGAGCATTCAATAAGTATTCTAACAGCACTCACTTATCCGTATTTTCCAGTTCAGCGTTTACGTCGTCGAGATAGTTTAAATATTCCAAAAAAAAGAAAACTGTTCCTTCACGTCCAAGTGTATGTTCGGTGTTCTCAAATGCCTGCACCACAGCCATCATTTTTTCTCTAGAATTAATTTGATCATTATTAAATCGCTAGCATAATCTTGAATTATACGTATTTATATATTTAACTTTCATTTTTGTCGACTATGATTTCGGTGCGAAAAGAGAGATAGAAAACAAAACCGTTGAATTGGATCACTGAAATTTGGTGCGTTAAGCAGAGCGACATGAAGCTGTGGACCGCAAACCCAAAACTCTTTTAGATCTTCGAAATACGCCGCCATGTAATGATTATTTGCAATAAGTTTTTTCGGATCCAAGCCTTCCTGAAAATTACTGTTTTCGTTTGATTGCTTCGTTCTTCTGTTTTCAAAAATGAACGGAAATTTTATCGATCATAATTGAAATGTCACCGCAAAAGTTTCGAAAGCCGATTTATCGATCATTTACCTGGATTGGCTAGGTTATCAAACGTTTGTAACGTTGCTGGCCTTGCTGGTCTTACTGAACTTACAACTTTTCGTCAGTTATCGATCATAACTGACGAAAAGTTGTAAATTCAATTTTACATTTTGAGATTGATTCTTAAAGAGATTGACCGCTCTTGCATGGTTGATGTCAGAGTTGACTACAACGGCATTAGTTCAACGAATTAAAAAAATGAACGATGAATCAATCATTAGATACCTTGAAATTTAAACATCCAATAATAGCAAACGCAATGAATAAGATATACGCGATTATAACGAGCAAGCGAATTTCACTTCTGACAATAAAAGGTCCGTAAGTATGAACGAAAAAACGTCGCATGAATCTCAAACGCTGCTCGTCATCGTTCCTCTTCGGTTTTTCGTTGATACCTACAACACAGATATGTCACAAAAAAGAATGTCCGATTCTTGGAAGTTAAAAAACTTATCCAATGAATTATTAGTTATGCATATTGATCATGTTTATTGCACCAAAACAAAAAACACATATATGCTGCATTATATAGATCATTGACGTTCGGCACTGATCGAATCAGTTTGACTTCAAAGCTTTTTCCCTTTTACATTTTTCAGAATGTAAGTGGTTTATCGCCGAATCATTTGAATCAGCTGCACAAAGTCAACCGTACTGTAAATTGGATATGAAGTATCATAACTGAATAAGAGCATGCATTGAAAAAAAAAACGAACAATATTGATTTGGTGGTATAACTGTTGAGTGAAGCATCATTTGTGTGCTTTTATTGCGTTTGATATCCTCTGCGGTGGTGGTACGAGTGGATATGATGTTTGGCATTACCATCTTTGATTGGTTGTTGTGGTCAGCACTGAATAACAACTAGCATCTTGATTGGGTCTCCACTCATATAACTTAAGCACTCACTCTTAACTGACCGTAATCGTGCTGCTGATAAAGCCGTTTGCTGAGAGAGTGAGTCGTCGATAATGTTGCATTGCGATGGTGAAGTGTGTTTAATGGTTGGCGAGCTTTTGATACGATAGAAGAAAAGACAGTGACGATCGCTCTTCTCAACATCACCCATCAGCGCGAGAAATGCAGTGAAGAAAGTTAGCTGAATGAGTGAAGATGGGTTTATTAGTCGACTCTTACTGTTATTCATAATCGCATTGTGATGTTTCGATTGGAATTGAACAAAAGGAATGACTGGTTGTTGGCGTCATAAACAAATTTTTGAGTCGAGAAACGATCATGATTTTTAAGTATTCCTCGATTTATACATCTGATAAATGATTCCACGACGGTAGTATTCGTCATTCTACATGAATCGCTCTGAGACGATTTGATGTAACTCTTTTAAGGATAATCTTGAATTATTATTTTTATTATTATTATAGCAATCGATGATTAGAAAGAGTTGAGATACGATGGCTTCACATGGGTAGAAACAAACTTGATAAAGGTAACAGAACGTGACCGTGACACATGCATAGCTGCAAAACAACTGTATTCCAGGCAGCGGCGTTATACAGCCAACCGCAAACGATAGAATATCGGTTATATTCGTGATCGAGATTGCAACACCTGCATGAGCCATCATATCCGACACCCTAAATACATATTCTTAATGCAAACCATTGCGTTTGTTCGAGTAAAACAATGAATAATAGTTGCATAACAGTAAGCATGAGAACGAAAATTAGATATTGCAATAGTAATAAGTAAAAATTTCTGAGTATATGCATAACTGAAACGAAAAAGTATTCGAAGAAAAACTGAACGTCGATAAAGTGGGGTTGGGGTATCTATCATTTGTAACGGTCAAATGAATAAATGATAGAAGACCTTTGATTGACATTTTCTGAAGAATCTGTTCGATCCCAGCATGCATTCATTATGAACATATCATCGATTCCAATTGCTAAAAGTGCATCCATCGTTTAAGCCATTTGTCCAGAATTGGAATTATCACCAAATGATAGCGATGGATCCCTCATATCAGGTAAGCTTGGTAAACAGTTAAACACTAACCAATTATAAGAAACGGAATAATTGTATTGATGACATTATATGGTACTCCAAATAATAACATTGCTCCAAAACCACTGGATAATGCTAACAGTGTTGTTAAAAGACCTGAAAAGAAACAACATCTGTTGTTTATAGAGCAGGTTTCATCAGCTGAATATCCAATTGAACATGTATAAAAATATGATCAATTCAGCTTCGTTTGCTTACATTCGAAACTTGATCCGTGTACGAAGAATATGAAAGGTAATACACTAGTATATAGATAGATACCTGCACATGCCACATACGGTTTGCTACGAATCCAGTTGATCTCTGTTCGCGGTTCACGATCGATTATAAACGAAAATGCGATCGCATAGATGCACAGCGTTGTGAAACTGATGATGAAATTCGGCTTGAAATGCTTTGCATTCTCCTCTAATCCATCCTACAAAATAGCTGGCGAACGATTAGTGAATCTAAGCTAAAGAAGCAACGCAAACTAGCGAAATCGCCTTTTATGAACATTACTTGTGAATGATTATAAACATTTTTTTTAGAATGTTTGTTCATTTTAGAATGTCGTCTTTATGAACTTTATTAGACAAGCACAGATTGACGATCAACGGTAAGCATCACTAATTCGTCACCTGGAGTGATTGGTAATGAGCAAACGAAATTGTTATTAGATCACTTCTGAAGTGTTTCAGCAAGAAGTCTTCGACAGCATACGAGAAACCTGACGAATAATGTGCCATCACGTTTGGCTTCTGTTTGAGAAAATAGAAGAGTTGTGTGATTTTTGCACTTCTCAACACATTCGTATACTCATCCAATCTCACATTACCAAGTGCTGAGCCCAAATAGACTGGCGTGTCCTAGAAATGAATTGTGGTAACGAATAAGTGATTCGTTTTCTTTGTTGCTTTTTATTTCATGCAGTTCAAATGGAAGTCATAATTATTAAGTTTCACACTAATTTTTTACAAATAACAACACTCTGTTTTGACCTTGTTTCCACCTTTCGGATAAGTGAGATCAATGAAGTGACCGACTCGAATTCGCTCTCGAAGCATTAAAATATGTTCATTGCCTCCACAGACCCAATCATAATTCAAACAAAGATCCTTAAATGAAATTGTTAGATAAACGTTAGATGATTTGAATCTTCCTTCACTTCTTTATTATTATCATTGCACTAAAATGTATGCGATGGCGATTTGAACAGTTAATTGTATAGTCAGTTATTCAAGCAGAATGGTGTTTTCAATGAATTTTGATTCAAATACTTTATGAGTCGTACTACTGACTTGGTAAGAAAGAGAAAATTTGGCGTCGTCGGTGGATACGGTAATATTGTTCATAATCCATTGGTTGAGTGCCTGGATTTCATCGAGAATATTCTCACGAAGGATATCACCGCCATCTTTGGCTCGCAGAAGAATATTAACGAAACGTTTCATTTCGAACGATTTACCAGCCACGAAACGGTTCTCGTTTAATGGCCACAATGTTGCAAATACGTTGAATTCACGTCGCCATCTGCAACAAAGGTGAGTGATGCTTATCTTGCTTGAATAATAGATTTTGATGGGATAACAACATAGGCAAGTCTTACCTTGCATCACGGGGCGTGAATACAAATGATGGGTCATCAATTCGAAGTGAGTCCAATCGAAAAAAGCCAACCGAGAGAAGTGACGTTAAAATTAGAGGTGTGATTAAGAGAATCCATTTCCAATCATAGCTTGCTTCACCATACCATTGAAAGAAACGCCGGATTAATGGTTCAATAGATTTTTTACCCATTTAGCTAGAATTTTTTTGGGTAATATGAAAAATAGGTAATTAGGTGAAATCAAAGATTACCCATTTTGGATTTCACGCGATACAACCACCCGATACGACGTAAATATAGCTGAGCGACATATTGGATTCAGCAAATAAACGTCGAAATTGTTGACAGCAAAAAAAGTCTGGTTAGTTAGCATATTAACGAAAAATGAATATTAAAAAAACCATGATTTCAGGGCAGTACACAACGAAAGTAGCTGATGATTAAATAATAAGTAGGCAGATCACAAAGTTAGAATAAGCATTCTAAGCATCGAAATGAACATTTTGATGATATCTGACTACTTCATATGACTATAATATTGACATCAATTGCCATCAACTGTTTTAAACCAATTCAAAGTGATGAAATGAGCATCAGCAATTTTAATTTTCTCAACAAAAAAATAATTAACGACAGTTACAAACTGTAAATGGGGTGCCATCTTTTCAGCATAAAAAGTTTTGTAGATGATGAAAGCATATAAGAATGTTGGTTCCTAAGCAGCAGCATTATCAGATTCGATAAAAAAAGGGTAAACAAAGATGACAACGATGATGATGTTAATAATATGAGGAGCATGATTGAGGTCAACCCTCATAAAACGAAACGAACACGTTCCTGGTTAGTTGCTATTCAAACTGTAACGCATATGTGCGTTACTATCCATTCCACAACACTGAACACATTAATGTGGAAAACGTGTTGCCTTGTTGATTTTTTAATGGGTGGTATATAAGTAGTTGTTATGCATACTGGTTTATCCACGGATGCTTATTCGGCCGGAAGGAACGTTTTTGCAAAGTTTTGAGTGTTCATACTTAGTCGGCTTTCACTTCAACTGAATGAAGGTCTCAAATGAGCTAAATGAGAAGATTATGGAATGATATTCTGCTGGCAAACAATTATTATTGCTTCAAGCAAAACGAAGAGATAGAACTGCAATAGCAATAATTCGAGAAAGGTTTGTTGCTAGTCCAAAAAACATCCAATCATCTGAATGAATAGTCGAAGTAAGGTTGAGTTCGTAAGAATTCGATGATTTATCTTGCATCAGATAATGACGAGAATTAATTGTTGCAAGAGTTTCTTAATTCAACAATATTTCACTAATTCAGAGGCATGCAAAGAAACAGAGTAAGGCATCAAATGAATTATGCAAATGATCTGCAATCATCTGAACGTTTCAAGTATAAATGAGCACAGAAGTAAATTTTTGATGGAATATCTGAAATATACACAATTGATTAATTGCTCACGTAGACGGATGAATGTCTGAACGAATGTTACGCACATATTTATAGGTAAAGAAGAAATAATATGAGGAATTGTCTGCCTGAGTGGTGTCGTTAATGGAAAGAAATGTGTGTCAAGCGATGAGTATAATATCACATGCAGTGCTGTATCGTTTTGTAATTGTGGCAAATTTGAGTGATAGTTAAGATGATGATTTTGAAGTGTAATTGCGTGAATATTTTAGTTCATGTTCATATCTCGTTTCTATGAGATTTGTGACGATTGAGTAAATATCGTTTTGTGTTCGTTATTATATTATAGCAATTCGATAAGTGATTATCGGATACGACGAGCCAATAATGCAAATCCACTGATCATCATCCTTCACTGCACTGATCACCCTTCGTTCATTAATCAAAATGAACAAAATAAACATATAAACCACATGATACGAGATAATTGATACCGCATAAATCTCTCACAAATTATTACTATACTACACCGATCGTGCAGCATTCTTTACATTCTTTTAATATTCATCGCACAATGAATATTAAAAGAATGTAAAGAATTAAAGAGCTCTGCCCAAGCCAATTGATCTTAGTCAACCTTTTGCATCTAGCGCATGCTTATGATTTGAAGATTTATATAGGTTTGAGGATATTTGCAGCAACACTCCAGCTAATGAATGAACAACAACTAGATTCTTTTCATGCAGGTTTATTTTCACATTAATTACTTTTCATATTAGTTGTAATACTATATGCTTATGATAATGATAATCACGAATCTTCAGCTACCCACCTAAAAAGTGCACGCATGTAATGGGGTTTTCTTATGGATAACGTTTGGATTGTTTACGGAAGTGTTCCTTTTCCAGAGCAACAGAGCATATCGATGCCGAATATTCATTCAATTTCAAGAGAACAACACCTTAGGCATGGATGGGACAAATTCAGTTATCTATATGAAATCAATCTAAGTCGGGAAGATACGATGTGAAAATCGAATACCGACAAAATTTTAACCTTCTCGAGTTTGTTCCATCATCGAGCAGTCGACCTCACTGACTAGTGAGGTAAACATGGTGATCAACTGAATTTTGATCAGTTTTATTCGCAGAAGCCATGTTAATGTTGATCTTAATGCGCGTACATAGGATCGGAACACTGAAAAATAGTAGAAATGAATCAGTAAACGGATGAATGAATTAAGAGGTGAATAAATTCAGATTGAATTATTGAAAGCGAAAAGTGGAATGAATGGACGAAACGGTGTTCATTTGATGTCCATGGATTATGGTGCATAGATTCACCGAACGGCTGACTCTCTCATAGGAATTCGTCACTCAAAACGAGTAATATGGTGATCAACACTAGACAGTCATTGAAAATTGACCTAAATATGACCAAGTTTCACATTTCAATTAAATTGGTTGTCGTTTATACCTTATTTGTTGATGCAGCCATAGAATTGAGTCAAACCGAAAAATTGTTGTTGCTTTACATCATTGATCATGTCATCGATCAATCATAAATTTTCTCTTGTGCGAGTAATAAATACAACAAAATTAAGAAGCACTTAATAGTTGAGATATCTCTTCAAGATGCAACTATAGAGAACAACACATTTTTGATTACTCACAAACTTTCTTGGTGGCATCAGCTAGTGGATGTTTTGTTCTATAATACAATGGAAAGGTAAGTATAGTCAGATGAAACTCAGTTTACTGCCATAGTTCACTCGAGCAGTTTGTTGGTAATCCGAATTGGTGTTGAACCCAAGCATGCTTTTGTATAGAATTCAATGCAAATCGGATTAATGCGACCCAATTCTGCCGAATGTATAATAAATTTTTATTGCTAGCATAGAATATCAGCAATTTTATTGATAAGCTGTTCCTACAGTCCAAAATATGATAGAAAATTGAGAGTAGGATGTTCAGCCGAAATCAAAGTTGACTTTTCTGATTTCCATAACAATGTTCCGAGAGGTTTTCTCATAATCAGCCTGCGAGATCTTCAAAAATTACCACTAGAAGTTGGTTGTTATTTACTAATTTCTTATCTGACAAGGATCATTTCGATGAAAACTGGTCACTAACCACTTCCATCTACGAATTTCTTAAAAATTAGGCAAAATTTCTAGATTATCTTTGCAGAGGGCTCGACTTCTCTTTTATGAAGATAGTTTTGTTAAAGTAGATTGAAAAAGCATCATCACATTAGGTGCCAAAAATCATAGAACACACGACATCGAATGTTAAGAATTACTGAAATACTAAATGAATGCTAATTACAGAGCCGTGGACTACTGTGAAACGTTTTTAAATCCTCTTTTATGTCTGATTTTGCTTGAAAATATGACGAAAAATTTCGTTAGGTTGTTAGAAATGGTCCTGATTCGAAGCGGATTTTAGCCGAAAGTTGTGGCCGCAACCTGAATCGGCTGTAAACCGATTCAGGTTGCGGCCACAAATTTAACGTGCGTATATTGTCTAAGCATAACGATTAATTGCAGAGGTACAGTCAACTTATGAAATGTGTTTCATATAGTTGGGCGATTCAAGTGCACTGCCAGTCTTTCACAATACATTCGATATGTTTGTCAATCAAGTATCAAAATTCAGCGAGCACGACCGAAACTCTCAAGTTTGAGTGAGTTGATATAGTTTGAGTGAGTTAATTATCTTGAGCTCATCATTTCGAGGAGGTTCTCACTCACAAGAAAAGTGCCAAAATGCTCAACTGGAAACATGTTATTGCAGAAAAGCAAACTATGATAGCAGGATTTTATATGTCATCAACGCTGCTTTTGAAGCTTCCAGGTATTTCACAGTTCAAGTTTTATGCACAATTATTCAGCATTTTGATAATCGCGTTAAGATTACGATCTTCCGGGGGATTTTTATTTCGGTTCTTTCAGTTTCATTTTTTTTCTGTTCAACCCGAAGGAAAATACTTCAAACTGAGAAATACTAATGTTTTTCTCACATTTCGTTATGTAAATGGCTTTGTATCTGCATTAATGTTAAGCCCATCAGAACTTCAGTTCATTCCTGAACCGAAACATAGTTTAAATGAATGATTTGTTTGAATCGACTCAATTCTTCCGAGCGCAAACTTTTATTGATGGATTGAAATGTGTATGGTTTCTATGAGGGATTGTCGCTCGAGTTCAGTGCGTGACCAAGAAGTGGGAATAGGATAAGTATTCAGAGATTCGAGGAACAACGCTACGAGGGAGTTACTGTCAGCTTTTGAGCATTAACCACTGTGACCTGGTTGTGATTCAGCTCTTTCCTATCTCATTGATGGCTTTCCTAATGAAACCTGATCTCTAACAAATTCCACTAGCGAATTAGGTGAAAAACAATTTCTCCCATATCCCTTCTCCCCTCCATGAAATAATAATAAGATATAAATCAACAGACAAAACTATAATCAGATTATTTATGAATATTTACTCATACTGGTGAACTTCATTGATAATAATAGATATTTTTATTTTTACTATTGTTAAGATTATCACTGTCGTAATTCTAGAATGGTAACTCAACTCATAATTTGTGACTATGTTGTAACTATGAACACCACCACTATTGATAGTATTTTGATTATTACTGAAGTCATTATCACTTAAGTATTATTAGCAACATGCCTTGCTTAAACATCTTGCCTATTAACTATTTAATCGATCCATCCAACACACACCGGTTGTGACTATGAACACCACCACTGATCATGTCAAGCAACATAACTCTTGCAAGTTAATGTTTCCGGTCAAATTTTATTAAATTTTTGGAAACTAATGAATCCGGTTACGAGACGGTGTATATCTATGAAATTTTCCTGTCAGGTGTATAAAGTTTCAATTATTTTTTGAATTTTTGTACTTCAGTCCAACTAGAAAATCTCGAGTATGTCTTTATTGTTGCCCATTCCATGCATATTGTTTTGTTTTTCTTTTTTCTGCACCTCTGCTACAAAACGATATATATATATACATCTGGTTAAACGGGTAAGAAATTCACATTTCTTAACAACACATACCAAATAAAAATGCAAGTTTCATACTGGCGACCTCTCATCATTCTGTCCGTCGTTGGCGAATTGTCAGCATACTTTCTCTAGCTACTGTGAATGATCGTTGAGTAATAGAAATGCAATTGGAACGCGTTCCTGATTGATTAATTGATGAGGATGGAACGAGGCAACGACGTTTTTTTTTAAGATGTCTAATGTATCAGTCTTAATTGTAAGCACGGAGAAGTGCTTCGAATCCGATAAACTGTTTCGTAATTCTTCATCGCAGTTTTTGGATCGTTTTTGGATTTTCTATTAACTCCTTTGAGATATTCAATCAATTAATTATTGTGAATGCATAAGATTTTTTTCAGTGACGACTGCGTTGGTGTTGTTGTTGAGTTAGATATCCAATATAAGTAATCAAATAATTGTTCATTTTCAAGGAAGTTACCAATAAACACGAATGAATGATGGACAGGATGGAAAGAACGAGGAAGCGAAGTGCGTTGATGGTGTAAGTGTGGAATCATCTTCAAGAAAACGTCAACGATCCGAAAAGTTAAAGACTGATGAGGTGTGAATTTCTCTTTATATCAGGATTTGTTGTGTCTATTTTTGTTGCATACCGCCACAGTCTTTGTTTGTCAGGTGATAATTTTATAAGACGAAACAATTGTCATGAATTTGAGAAGATCGTTTCATTTGATGGGTGTTCGGTTAATGAAGATAACTGTTATTGGATGTATGCAGCAATGAAGAAGGTGTTGAAGGGGAATGACAACGATTTGTTGATAATGGAAGAGACGATTAACAACGATGAATATGCAGACGGCGAGGAATCGTTGATGAGTGATGGTGGCAAATTGATTCTTGAACAAGATCGCTTTCTACCAATTGGTTGGTTTAACTTGGAAATTTTTGCGATCATATTCGGTAATTAATTTTTCGTATTCCAAAATAAATAACTTGGAGTAAACGTGCTCGAAGATGTGTATTGTTCTGCACGTTGCATTTAAGAAAGAACTTCTTGAGCTATTTGATGTATAAAGTTCTTGGTTGTAAGTGACGTAGTGTCATTGCTTTTTGAGAAGCGGTCTTGTTCAGAAGGAAAAGGTGTTGATTTAGTTTGATACTTGTGGAGGTTGTTATCAATATTTTGTTAAGCTAACATAAGTCGATTGATGAAGAATGTGATTCCATCAACGGGTAAAGTAGCAAAAGATGCGAAAGAGTGTGTGCAAGAATGTGTCTCTGAATTCATTTCATTCATCACTTCAGAAGCTAGTGAACGATGTATATCTGTTAGTTTTTGTTGCTGCTCATATTATTATAATTATTATAATTATTATTATTGTTATTATTATTAATTACTATTATTATTATCATTATTATTAATCGCTGATCAATTGCGTGTTTACGCATTCTGTTGCACTCAACAGTTATCGTATTTCGTTGAAAACACTGATCTTAGAATAGGTGGCTGTTTTATTCGGATAGATATAATTTTAGCGGATAACAAAGTCTCAGATACTTGTTATAGGAGAAGCGAAAGACGATCACCGGTGAAGACCTGTTAATTGCGTTGAATTCACTCGGTTTCGAGAATTATGTCGATCCATTAACCACTTATATTAAAAAGTTTGTTTTTTGTTTGCTGAATATGCAATCCATCTCGAAAAGTTCAAGAAAGCATTCGTGTTGGCTGTTATAATATTCAATCGAATATCTGTTATTGTGAGCAGAAATATCGATAAGCTAAGTAGATGGCATTGTATTTGTTGGTTGTAGGTATCGTGAAGCTAATCGATCGGATCGCAATACCGATTCAGTCTGTTCGCCATCCACTCTTACGCAATCATCGGTTTACTTTCCGATCTGTTTTCTTCGATTTTACTTTCTTGACTGATTGATTGAATAAACTCGGAAATTTTATGACGATGTATTGAAACATTATTCTTATGTTGTTGTTGTGTGCGACATTCGTAATAGTTTCATCGGAATTAATGCAGGAAATTATTGATGTTGCTTTGGCAAAACATTGTAAACTAAAAAAATTCAATTGGTTGAAGAATATTGATGAACAACGATCATCACAAAACGAAAACTCGATAGCGACGAATGTAATCAGCCTTCAAAACGTGCCCATATCAGCGGGAAATGAATGTTCGTCCCAAATTATCCTTTCTGGTTAGTTCGCTTTCCCATATTCTTGAAAGTATAAATCTGAACTTCGAAGAACGTCGAGAAAAGAAACAAGAACCTTTTTTATACTGGTAAACTTGCAGAAGAGAATAACGATTCAGCGATTCGTATGTTAACGAATGCAAATGTGCAGCATCTACAATTATTGATGGATCCACAAACTGGACAGCATTACATCAATGTACAGACGAGTAATGGAACGCAGCAGTTACTACCAGTCCAGGTTTGTTCATTGTTTGACTTGATTTGCAGTGATATCTTCATATCTAATTTCGTTAGCTGTTTTTTTTAAAGAGCTTATTACCCGAGAGCACTTTTTATTGTGATTTGTGACGTCGGTAGATTCTGCTCAGGTGGCAGTAGGCTATGAAAGAAAGAGTCGGGGACGGGTCCACGACACACTAGTGTTTCCGTTTTACTTTGCAATGGTAATTGGTTGAATTTAATGCAATCCGTTCTACTCATATGATGACATTCAGTCAATTTTCTATGCATTCAATTGGCTATTCGTCACATTCGAAAGAATTATTCATTGTATCTGTATATAGTATTATAGGCGTTGCCACCCACCACTTGAGACAAGCTAACGTAAGTAGAAATTTTGGAAAGTAATGCAAAGCGGTGCTAATTATCGGTAATAAGATTCAGTTGGAATGAGTGCATTTCAGACAGCCGAAACTATAGCATCAGTGGAAGAAGAAAGCGATAGTGGAAGAGCGGCCACGACAGCAAACGTTAATAATAGAACGAGCGCCGCGCAGAATCGCACTTCATCAACTCAGTTAACGAACACAATGATGCCTCAGTATAATACCCCAACACAAATTGATAGCAGTAATAGTAACACTCAACAGTCAGTAAATTCATATCAACAATATTCCATTGATACCAGCGATCACTTCTCACGAAAACGATTGCATGATGATAGTGATGCGTCAATAGCATTCACGCACTTTCATTAGGATTGTATCGATGAGTAACTCAAATTTGAGTGTCATTCATTGTTGAATCATATCAGTGCTAATTTGACATATTGTAATTCTAATTCACTGATTACCCGTGCTATCTCAGAATGATATGGAATTGTGATCGTATCTTGCAAATTCATCTGTTTTCGTTATTTATTCATTGTTTGTACTCAGAGAAATTTCGTCTACCTCATCTTACTGTTCATTCTTCAATCACTGCTCACTGCGAATACTATTGAAAAGAGAGGAATATGAACTTCTTAATAGATTTAACGAGAAATATGATAATGATTAACAACGAATGAAGGCTACTCATGTACGGTTTGAACAAACATTTGAACAAACAATAAGATGTTTGTTCAATTTGGAAATGAACTGATTTGTCGGCAACGCTGAATAAATTTCAAAATGAATCTCTTACCAGTAACTTATGTTTTTTCTAGGTAACTTTATAAGTGATCGTCGTAGCTGTATTTGTTAGTTAGTTACACCGTTCTTCATCATGATCATTGGCTGAATTTTAATGATTTCGTCATTCTGTGGTATGATTTGATGAAGTGATTTTGACTCGTCATTGCACACTTATTCATTTATTCGTATTATGTATATTCAAGAAATAATCGAACGAATAAGATGTTTGTTCAGTTTTGTAATTTTTGCTTGTAACCTGCTGTATTTGATGTGAATTGATCGATTGATTGATCTGTATTATTTGTACAATTAAAAATATTGCAATTTTTTGCACATTAAAACAACCTGGAAAGTAGTATTGTTAGTAATAGTACAATGAAAGCAATCTGAATGCAAATAGAACTGAAATATTCAAAATGAACGTACATGCTAAAAAAATAACCTGAAACGGAATTAGTTGCATATCGGAACATCTATAACAAAACCCAAAAGACGAAGTAAATATTTCACGATTTGGATTTAGAAGGATGCCTTCCGATTTGATATAATAATCCCTCTGAAACTTTGTTTCAAAGAGCTTGCGTCAAATCTCTTTTTTTCCTGACGCAGTGGCCAACGAACAATGTGTATGGTGTGTGACCTTTCAGCACCATTTTTTCTTAAACGTGCTTTTACGTAGGTTCTTTCCAATCAAAAAAAAGAAACATGATTATTGGATAGCGGAATGGCTAAAATTACGAAATTCACACATTAGTCCACGCGAGGCGAAAAAACAAAACTTGGCCCATTTGTCTTCCAGCTCAGTTTTTCCGACGAAATTTCACCAGGGTTTAAGAAGTGCTTGAAAGAAAATGGGATGAGGGTTGAAGACACGTAGAACGATACGAGAAATAAACTCTAGTCAGGCGTATGTTGGCAGCAAACGATCAATCACTATTTGATATTTTTCGCACAGTCAGAGATACAAACAAGGCTGTATAATGTAATCAGTCAGTTGCATGATCGACACTCACAGTTCGTGTTACTGTATCCCGACTGACGTTGCTCTCGAAGACAGAGCGTTTTGTTTTCAGCAGAAGGCTTTAACCTCGATGGTAGGCTTTTTCCTGAAAGTTTTGCTGTCCAAATTTCTGGTCGAAATCTCCGCCTGGATGGGGTCTTCCTCCCGTCGGGCTTAAAAGCTGTTCTTTCATCGAACAATAACCATTGTCAGTCGTGGATCACTCGGATATGAGGTTAACATCAATAAAAGTTATGTTGTATAAGCGATTCAAATGAGAAATTTAGTTGTTACGAGTCCAACATTTCCATTTCGGAACATGAAAGTAAAAGTTGAATAAATTGAATGTAATGTGTGATTTCATCATTTTAACGTCTAATACGGAATATTTGGTTTCTTTTCAGTATGTCTGACAAATAACTGAATCGGTCAGTTGATACAATAACTTTATCCGTTGTTGTTTCAAAATTGTTCAATATGTGTTATAAACGACCTAACCTGCATATCTTTATATCTTATCTGCAAAATGCAAATCTGTATATCTTCAGTTAATTATAAATAACCTGATTTCTAATATACAGTATTGAAGCTATTCTTTCCACATTCAAAGAGAAGTGAACAATCTAGGTATGGAAGAATTTCTTAGCTGCTACTTTAATGGAATTATGGAAGCACACATTACAGTCAGTTTATTCAAGTTAAGATTATGAATAATGTTCTCAAAATGGGAACGTTGGACTCTGAGGGATTGACGAAATAAGTCGAGGTATGATTGTACACTTAGAAGTGTGACTAAATCTGTGCACATAAGCATCATCCTTCGACAGCATATAATCACCTTAGTAAGTAGTATCTCATCTTTGACGTGGTGCCAGTAAAGTGTTGGATTATTGAGCAAAGCTGACAATGAGGAAACTAGGAATTTACATGAAGGCATGCAATAAGGCAACAAACAATTTGAAAATTACTTTATAGAGTCGTATCAATACAAAATTATTGTGTGCTTTTCAGGGTGTTATCGCTCAACGTGTTATTCGTATCAAAATACTTAATGACTACCTCTGTGACAAAAAAAAACGACCAGATTCTAAAATCCTCTTTAAAAAACTGTCTTTCAGAACTTTCATCATGGGTGGGCCTAAAGACTGAAAAGCAGTGTTGAAAACATAAATAAACCATGTTATTGCGATCCCTTTCCTCCCTTTATCAAAGACTTTTGTCGTTTCTGATGCGGGTAGGAACTTAGTCAAGCTAGTGAGTTGGTGATGTGCACATTAAATCATTCAGTATCTACAATTAACTATTTTCGAAATATGTATCCGATTGAAGATTTCGATTTCCGCCCAAAAATTTTAATTTCTCAAGAGATAGCTTCAATTAGAAAACCGAAATTTCTTACCTGTGATCATACTAATATGTACTACGAGCAATTAATACCGTTCAGGCGATCTGTATCCTCAAATTTTGAATGCAGCATCATAATTTCTCAAAATCAATTTTATAGTGCCACCTAGAATGTAGATTTATTCAGCCATGGAACATTCTCTTCTATACGATGGTTACATTTGCTCTGTAGATCAAATGTGCTATGTTCATACGTTTAGGTCCGTCCCATCACCGGTCGGATATTTTCATGATCCAGTTCCTCTTTTTATTTCGTATGTCCCTTGTTTCAAAATTGTGACTTCACAGATTTATGTTCTTCACCGATTCAAGAATTGACATTTCCTTGTTGAGCAGTTGTTCATGTCTTCTGAATTGTTATTGTTACCGTTTCATCTGCTACACAAACGCTATCACTCTTTCATCTATACAAATATGATTATTGTTATCAATATATCATTATCATTCTTATTGTCAGTATTCACCATTATTTGCAATTTACTTCGCAGTATCAATCATTATTTGATGATGAGACACCATTCGGTTTCTAATGAAACTTTCCCGCATGGGCAAGAAGAAGAGTTCGTCCGAACTCAAATAGCATATGAATATCATCGATATAATTCAGCCGGATCCAGGCTAATTTGGCCTCTATGTAATCACATGTTCCCCTTTATTATTAATAATCATCTCTTTTCACTGCCAATCGTCAGCGTGTTCAACTGGCTCGGCTCACGACTGTGGCTCGTCTCAGCGCAACTGGCTCATTTTAGTTCAAGTTGTTATGGGTAAAGTTATTTTGGTTGATGTAGTATGAGCCACCTACCATATAAGTGAACTTTCACAAGAAACCACAAATCTTCCATTTGATATCAATTAATCTAAATGAAGTGCTTTTCATATGTATCAGCAATAACTGCTGCCATTATTGCCACTGAAATGTCATTCTTAGTGCCGTCATTGTCATTTGTTCACTCTTCGAAGTGAAATAACTCAAAAGCTTCAGACAGTCATTGTCGTTGTAATACATTACTACTATTTGTTCGTTTCTGATGTAAAAGATAGGCGGGTTGGGCCGATGCTTTAGTGATACAATTGGGAAGATTCCATCAGAAACCTCAAAAACTGAGATACCTTAAGCTACGATGTTGTAGCTTGATATATGCTCGGGAGCTGGAATTTATTTCATTTGCTGATAGCACAATGATTGGATATGACTGTGGTGAAAGGCTTTAGAGTGAGGTGCTTTTGAGAAAGGTAACAGCTTGGCAACTTTTCAAAGCCCCATTCTTGCAAGCAATCGAATGATAACTGCAAAATTTAAACCTAGTCTCATGGTCAATTTCAGCGACTATATCTCATAATTAATAGACACTTTACTGGAATGATTTCTGCATCGTGCGGAAGGAACATGCTATCTTCTTTTTCATTCTCTACTGAATATTTATTCTTTTCACGTAATTTTGTTATGGAGTTATTTCTTGGGGAATGAAAGATATCGAATCAATGCATGATAGAGGCAACATAAACCTATCAAAGCATTGATTGCCTGTGAAAGCAAATATTATACAACTTTGAAAGGTTGAACTAGCTTTTTGGCATATCAGAACATTTTTCGATGAGCATCATCATCTTATGATACGCCATGTAGTTAATAATCACTGATAACATCAGTAGTATCGTTCGCTATCATCCTTCTCCCTGCACATTACATCTCGTTTCTTCTTCATTTCTCTGTTGTGTTTCATTTATTCAAGTTTGAGTTGAGTATCATTAGTGGTGGTGGTTGTTGTTTGTTACTCAGTTTATTCATTCATTTGTTTTTTGTTTCGTCTTGTCTCTTAACGTTGTTTTCGTGATGAGCATGCCTTCATATTCATTTACTCAGTCGCATCACACAAATTACTGTATATTTTTTATCGACTTCTTTTTAGATTATCCACTGAAATCACATTGAAATCAATTGTAAATTCGAAAATGTTATTGATTTCTTTTCTTTTATCGCCAATTGTAATCAAATAAAGCAAACAGCTGGAGAGAGTAATTATCAAATTATTGAAATATCGAACTGATCACTGCAAGTTTTACGTTTTATTGTTTTAGAAAGTTCAAATTGATGCGTCGACTGGGATGCTGCTCTGTGATGAATGGCCAGTTGTTGAACCTTAACTCTAACTTGAGCAGTAGCATGACAACAGTT